ATGCTTCTGCATGCTGATACCAAAAATTCATATCATTTATTTTAAAAAGATTGTCTCTTGTTCACACCATTGTTGAAAATTAGTTGTCTAAGTGGTGTGGCCTAACTTTATGATCTCTATTATAAACTTTTGTTCTATGTGACTATTTCAATGGCAATACCATGCAATTTGTAGGCTGCAGCTTTGTGGTGTGTTTTGAATTAAGTAATATAATGTTTTCTGGTCCCCCATTTTTGGTTCAAGATGGTTTCAACCACCAAGAATATGATGGTTATATTTACTTATTGTCAACTTAACAGGATCTAGAGTTGCCTGAGAGGCAAGATTCTTAGCATAGCCGTGAGAAGTTATTTAGATTAGATTAGCCTAATGTGAGGGTTATCTTGACTCTCATAGCTCCACAGACCTTCGTAGCCCTAGAGGTACATTGAACTTACACCTAATATGGCATGGTACAGGACACAACACAAGTCTGCCTTGTGGAGTTGCAGGTTTCCGCTTAGTGCTAGGGTAGGTATAGAATCCTTTCACTGAAGACTGGCCTAGTGATACAGTATTGCCGAAAGTTGGAGGATGGTTAATGATGAAAGCACCTTGTCTAAGAAGATGTGAGATGGACCCGGAACTGAGTCTCCCAGCCATAGGAGTGTGTCATGTCTTAGAAGGAGGGTGATTATGTGTCTGGCTCCTCCAAGTCTAAAGTTGACTTGGTTGAAACTCAGATATGTCTTCTTTCTTCACTGTTCTACTTTCAGAGTAGGTCTAGAGAGTCTGCTTGCAAATTCTGGTTTAGAAACCAGATCCTGTAGTTTCTACTGGATATTGGGTCTCACTTGCTTGTCATTCCAGGCCAATGGTTCAAAGACCAAAATGTGCCTGGTTTCATATTGTACTACCCGGAAAATGGGAGTTCTGCCTTGCTGCTTTGCTGAAAGGTTGGAGGGCGACCAGTGAAAATCTTTGCAGACATTCTCTCTTTCTCTCTCTCTCTCTCTCTCTCTCTCTCTCTCTCT